TAATCTCAGCAGGCAATTTGTGGAAAGTGAGAAGTTCATCCTAAAATAGATAAGGAATGTACAGCACCTGGAATAGCCAAAACATTATTAAGAAAGAAAGGTGTTTGGAGGTCTTACATTATTGGATTTCAAAAATTTAGTTGAAGCTACAGTGGCCTTGGGGATTGGTGTCCTCTCTGTGTGTCCCCTTGGAGAAACATAATCTTTTCTTGGGTCTTCCTTTTTCTTACATAATGTATCTCCTCCAGCATGTCCCTTCCTTCCCTGTCTGCCTTGTTAATGAAGGAATTTCAGTTTCCATCAGTGTTTCTCCAGGCTTCTAGGAACCACTAGTTTACACCATTTCTTTTGGTCCTTGGCAAAGTGTTAAATTCCATATCCTTGGAGTGTTCCCCTAACCAGGATGATGGGTTCTGGTCCCTAATCAAACAGTCTCAAAATCTAGCCCTGTGAATACCCTGGTTCCTACCAGTACATTCCTAGCTGCTTCTTGAAGCTCCTTTGTTGAGTAGTTGTTAAGGCCCCGCATATCCTAGGCTGACTTAATGCTGCAATTTATTTCTAGTTAGCAGCCTGTAAACTAGGAGAGGAGGTGGGGCAGGCCTAGCAGGGAAAAGGGTGTGCCTACTTTAATAGGGAGGGGTTTTCTGCCTCTGAAACTTTGAGAGTTCGGGGGAATCTGGGGAGCCAAAGAGTTTGGGGCATTCACCCAGACAAACTTGTCCCATGTGTTAGATTCCAGGTTTCCCAGAGTAGAACCCTGATCTTAGCATAACAGACCTGACCTGGTTGAGCATTCAATCATCTTTGCAGTTGTCAACTCTTAACAACTCTTAAGTTTTTACTTTTATCTTTATCTTTTTTTAACTCTGCCACCGCAGGAGGCAAGAATCTCTTTTTAAGGACTTCTGGCCTTTTTAATTGTTAAAGGCCTGTACCTTCTCCTTTGTAGGATATCAACACAACTAGAGATAACTAGTCAAATCTGTTACATTGTGCCTCTGTACTTTCAATTTTTATTGTTGACACTATTACAGATGTCCCCGTTTCTCCCTTTTTGCCCCCTTCACCCATCCCTGCCCCTGCTTCCCTGTGGCCATCACACTTTTGTCTGTGTCCATGGGTTATGCGTATGTGTTCTTTGGCTAATCCCTTCTGCCAGGGTGTTCTTTACAGAAACAGTCTCCCAAGTCACCACTGTTGAAATTTTTTAACAATCGAGGTGTTACCTTGTATCAGGGACTACTGCAGCCTCAACACCATACAGGATGGGATCCTTTTTGTAAGGTTTACAGTGAGTGATTTATTCCCCAAACCTTAGAAACATCCGAACCAAAATATTCTACATTTTCACCTGATATTCAAAAGAAGGGGTCCAACTATTTGTAGCAGATCCTATTGCTTCAAAACAGGTTTAGTTTTGACTAAAATGGAGAAACCATGAGATTAATTTCTGTGACACTATCTGAAATTTAAAACTTGCTCTCCCTTCATTACATATACCTACAAAGCAGCAAAGTAATCAACCAACTACCTAACAAACAAAATTGTTATAAAAAAAAAAAAGAAATTGAAAGGAATATAGAAGGTAAATATTAGAGTCAGACTTGGGAGAGAAAGTAAACTCTAGGGCTACTTATTACAACAATAAAGAGTGAAATCTTTTATCTTTTAATAATTTGGTGGGTGTGGCAAGATGAGGGGGAATAGGGAGAAGCCCAAAATAACCATTGTCTACCCTAAATCTTGGTCAAGTGTGACACCTAGAGGCCACACAAACAGAATTCCTTTAAAAAAAAAAAGGCAAGATGCTTTTATGTAGAGAAAAATATTTAAAATTTTGTTTCAAAATGGACATTGTTTGACAATATCCTGTGCAACACTCCATCAATGAACAACTGTATATTTCTTCATTTACTTATTTTTATTTACAAAACTGATGGTATTAAAAGCTGTTTCCCTTTCTGTTAAGTAATTGAATTTTTCATGATTGATTTTAAATGTTGGTACTAATCATTGAAAGTCATTATCCATATGTCTTATGGGTTATGAAGTATGTTTATATGCTTGTGTTCTAATAAAAGAGAAAACACATGCATAGATATGTACATACCCTCCCCCACTCTCGAGTGTGGAAATGATAGAAAAATAATAAAGACAGATGAAAGGACACCACATGAGAGGTGATAGGTTCAGAACTGTCTCATTTCTAAACATTAATAAATATGCTTTGCATTTTTCATCCATTGGTTTGGAAAACTTTTATAGCCTTGACTCATTAATACGTGAACTGTTCTTCATGAAAAATGATGAACGATTTACTTCATGGCAGGCTGTACAGATGGTCAATTTAATCTGCATCCTTGAGACTTCTCATGACTAAATTTTGACATCATGTCATTAAGCATTTGTATGTTATTTATATCATACTCTAGAAAACAAAGAATGCTATGTCTTGCTATCTTTTGCCATCTATCAGTTTTATTGATAGGATTTACCCAACTGGACACTATAGCTTTCACAAAGAAGCATGTATCTGAATATATATATCACTTCTGTCTCCTCAGAGACCCATACATTTTTGTCCTCAAGTGTAATAATGACATTGTTATAGAACAGATATGTGGCAGTGGTGGAGACAGATGTTTATATGACTTAGTTTCTATAACCTTGTCCAGAGATGTCTTTACTGCTGACTGATTGTGCGTTGTATGTGTTTGTTTGTGATCCTTAAGCTTTGTAGAAATTGGAATTAAAAGAAGGAAACCGATTGTTGGCTATTTTCAAACACTACTGCAGAATATTCAATCTCTTTGTATATTTTAAATGGCAGCAAATTTTGACTTAAAAGTAGCCCCTGGCTCTTCAGTATAATGCTGGAAGTCTACACGTTTCCCCAGTTGAGCAATTATTATACAACCATGGATAAATATAAAGATTAGAATCTTAAATTTCCTTTTGATATTAAGCTATTAAGGATAGCTTCTGATGACTTTTCAAAGGGCTAAGTAATTACCCTGTATATTAAATTGTACTAACTTGACTCCTTAGATTCTGTGTCTTCTGTTATTATTAATGAGTTTCTACTTGGTGAATTGATTTGGGACTTCCCAAGAATGCTTCAAATGGGCTGATGTTAACAGAGTACTTCCCCTTTGAAATCCACCCTGTGCCAGAGTTAGAGGGTTTCAGGGTTTAGAGCCCTTAGGTAGCTGAGAAATAAAAACAAACAGAATAGGAAAACACTGCCATCAGTGGCATTGCAGTTTTCCCTAAGAGGACAGAACCAAGCAGGTCCTATTTTCTTTTTTGGTGTAACTGTTTCTTGTTTGGTGTAACTCCTTCAGGGAGCCATACAGTAGTTAAGATCAGGCTTCCTTTGTGTCCCTTATCAACCTGTAATCTTTTGATTGTTGCCCCTTTTTCACCAGTGAAGAAATAGTAATCCACACTAGTTTATCTCTCCTAATCACAGATTTACAGAGCTAGGGCTCTCTGAGCTTTTAATTCCCTCTTAGAGGCCTAACAGAGTGGAAAGTAAACAAAGAAGGAATTTGCAACCTTCAACATTGCTAATTTCCTCTGATGTCAGAATACTTAAACAGGCAGGATCTGGGAATTATTTGATCAAACCTGCTCTTAATCTAATGCATGCAGAAGGGCTGTGTCTGGAATGATCTGCAAAAGACAGGCGTCCCAAGAGAGCGTTATGGAAGGTTTCCTCTTTCAGAAACAGTAGCTTCCCCATTTTAAACACTTGGGTTGGCTCTGCTGATGGAGTAAATTCATAAAAGTAGTTTTCCTGCTTTTTAAGTTTTATTTTATTTGGCCAAATATGCTAACCGGATGTGAATAGTTTTCTTTGGCTTTCTGTTTGCAGAGTTTTTAATTGGCTAAATGCATTGTTATTATTTTAGCTTTACTAGGACATGAATTAATAAAAGGTCATAATTGGGTGAAAGAAAGAAAGAGAAAGGGCAAAGCATTATCTGACTTCACACACATTCCTCTGTTAGGACTGGTTTAAGAAAGTCAAAACACAAAGAACAAAAGAAGCAAACCCATGAAGTTATTTAGATTACATTACATTTTTCTACATTAAGTTCAGAAAAACTAGTGCCAGGAACTTTTAAATAAAGAATTCACAATTTTGGACATATCCAAGAAATGGAAACTCAGTTTTCCCTTTAATTTTACTCACAAATGTGTCGATACTTAAAGGCAGCCTATTTGTGACGGAGAGAACACTTTTATCTACTCCATATCTGAACTATAATTTTTGATTAGTTTTTGTAAAACTATATAACTAGATAGTATTGTGAATACTTATTGCATGCTAATTCTGTTTTTAAATCTCATTAAAACACAATGTACTCTGATTTCTTAGAGTAGATCAATATTACATATTTTTATTGAGAATAAAGTTAAAAAATTAAAAAGTGGTTAGGTGCATTTCGGCAGCAAGTAAATACCTCTGTCGTTTTATTGTGTGTGTGTGTGTGTTTTTTTTTTTCACATCTGATCATAAGTGCTGCTCCCCATAAAAAGTGATTCAGAAGACACTGCCTAAAATAAATTATAAACACTGATGCTTTGTGTAAATATACACTTAGAATAACATGCCACTAGATCTAGCGTTTGCCTCGTCGTCGTTGGGTGACAAGGAATTTCAGTGCCTGTTATTTGTCACGGTGAAGCCTGTCGGGTGATGATTCTTTTCATTGGTGTATCCTTCCAAACATATTTCATCACACCATGTGCACGGGAGTTCTTTGGGCGGGTACGTTGCATCTGGGTGTCCCCTCTCTCTTCTGCTCGCTTCCTTTCTCGCCCTCTGGCTCCCCCCCCCCCCCAGCCCCCTCTCCCTGGGTCGGGCTCACGCCCCCCTCCTCTCTCTCCAGCTGGCGGCGGGCTGTGCGCTTCCCGGACCTGGAGGACCTGCTCAGTCAGCTGCGGCCCCCTGCGGACGGCGCCTCCCTCGCCGCTAGGACTCGCCACTGTGCGCGGAATGGCAGCCGCAGCAGCATCCCCGCCGGCGGCGGTGGCGGCGGCAGCCTCGGCCACCGCGGAGGCTATTGTTCCCTGGTGTTAAAAGAGCGTTCCCTCTTTTTCATCTGAAACGAACAATAGCAGGGCAGAGCTTTGCTTTCTGCACTCCTTGGGAAGACATTCCGAGGGCGAAGGAAAATTCCCTGCCGGCCGAGTTGCGGAGCTGGACCCTGGAGCGCCTGCGAGCGGCATGGGGCTGCAAGCGAGGCGCTCGGCGTCCCGGAGCCGCGGGGCTGCGGGCGGGCGCCCGGGCGTCCTGCAGCTGCTCCCGCCGCCGCCGCCGCTGCTGCTGCTGCTGCTGGTGCTGCCGCCGCTGTGCCCGGGCGCCCGCGGGGCTGCGGCTCCGGGCCAGGCTGAGCCACCCACCCTCTATCTGTGGAAGACTGGTAAGTGGGACGGAGTTCCTCTTCTTTCACCCCCGCATCTGGGTCCACGTACGAAACTGCCGGGGCTTCGGGAGCGACCCCTGTGCTCCTCGGTGGCCCGGGTGTGCTGGGGTCCTAGGTAAAAGTGTGAGTCGTAGGAAGCAAATCAGGTCACGTCCGATGCTCTTTGGAAAGAGAAACCTAACTAAGGGGCATTAGTGAGTCACTGGAACGAACTCTCGCTGCTCTGCAGTTAATCAGGGCAAGCAGCGCTGCACTTTCCAGAGGAAGTGCAGCATTTTTAACCTCTGGGTTCTGTTCTGCTACGAGTTTCTTAAATCTGGGTCTAGCAGAGAGCCAGCCAACAGTGTAGTCTTGGTCTTTTATTCTGTCTTGGGGCACACTCTTTCCTCAGTACCATGATACAGATGGACATAGAATTGGATTTGTTGAGTACAGCTTTGTGATATGTGGGACACGTGGAAACGAGAGCATTTCTAACAGGGGACCGGGAACGGGGCTCCAGTGAGCTCACCGAGACCAGGTAAAGCTCAATTCTTCATGAGTGAATTGCAGGATATTTAAAGCGCACAGTTGTTAGGATGTGCACTTTCAACTAGGACGTGCAGGTGTAAACTTTTTCTGTCTGGAGAATTCTATTGCTTTGTTTTCCACCAACCAACAAAAGCAGCAACTAATTGTTCCTCTGAACCTCCTGGCAAAGTGCTGACTAGAGGTCCTGGCGGGGCAGTGACAGGCAGGAAGACAATACCCAGTGAGGAATTGCTGCTCCCTCTCCAGATGCTGCTTTCTCCTCCGAAGGACACAGAATTCTTCAGCAGACTTAAAGCTTGTGATGTTTATTGTGGAGTAAAGTGGGAAACATTCCTATTGTTTAGGACTAGGATTAAGTTTCTTGGTAATGCCTAAATATTAGGGAAAGGATGCAGTAGAAAGGAGGGAGAATATGTATGTGTTCACCATGGGACTGCAGACAAGTTGCAGAGTCTCTTTCTTCACTTCAGCTGTCTGTCCTTCCTCTGCTACACAGGCAGATCAGTCTACAGTTATACTGCTACCCTGAATTTTTAAAGAAGTTGTATCTATCCAACAACTTAGTGAGTGAACAGAAATTGATTTAAAGCTAACATGCATAATTTGCCTCACAGTGTTGCACAAAATACATACACACTCTGGTTTTTTAGAAAAGTCATTTGGGTTTGTGTTGGCTATTCTTGTTAACACTTGGACTTTACAGATCAGTTGATGAGTGGATGTAGATAAAATAAAATTAACTAATTTCAATTTAATAACAAAGAGTTGAAGGTCTCTCTAATTTAGCTGAAGTCATGGTTTTACTTTTCAAAAGCTTAGTCATCACAACAAACACTCATCAAACTATAATGTCCATTAGATGGTATTATTTGGATGCTTGGTAGGAGTTTCTCAGGTAAGTATTGGACAAAGTAATACTTGCCTGGTTGAAATTTGTGCTATTAAAATAACAAGAGCCAAGTAGTTATTTAGACAGAAGAAGAGCCTAGGCAACATTCACTGTGCAGGAACTGAGGTGCCAATATATGTCAACATAGATGTCATGGTGGGAACAGAAGCCAATAAACAGTTTAAAATACTGGAAAGCTGTCAGGAGCAAGGGTATGGAGACCTTGGTTCCAGTACCAGTTGCTGCTCTTGCTAGCCTTAGGAATGTTGGCAGTTTACTTAACTTTTGACCCTAGTTTTTTTCAGCTGCATATAAATATGATGATACCTTCTCTGACTATTCATAGTGTTACGAAGAGCAAATTAGTGAGTTATGGGAAGTAATGTATAAACTCCAAAGTTATGTGGATGTTCAGATATAAGTAAGCTAGGATGAGGATGATGACATCTTTTTTATTGTGATCCTTGGCTTGGTGAAAAATAATGGTGAATTAAACTGGGGAGCAACGTAATGACCTCTTTATTGTTTCTGAGAGGGAAAGGAGACTTTACCAGATCTATAAAGGAACTGAGAGTAGTTATTGGAGGAACTAGGGAGTATTTAAAGGGAAGGGATAAATTGTAAATGAAAATATAGAGATGATGGAATCATGAGTGTTTCTCATTGACGAAAGGAAAGACCTGGGAAGGGAACTGGTACAGAAAATGAGGTGAGACAGTCCAAGACATCTCTTCCACTGGGGTAAGCTTGGTCTTGGTACCGCAGATTATAGGGAGTCACATTGTTGGTGAGTTCTTTGAAGTGAGGTAGTGAAAGGTACCCTGGAACACTGTGTTCATCACCAACCATGTAGAATATTGGAAAGTCATTTAATAATGTTGGTTCTTGGTTTCCTATTTTGTGATATTCATTAATTAAAAAGATGAGATCTAAGAGCCTTGTCAGCTTGAAAGTGCTTCAAATGTATGTACACATATACATATGCATACATCATAAAAGCACATATATTCATATATACACACACGCATAGTGTATTGATGTATATATATGCATAATACATGAAGTTTATGACACAATATATACTATATAATGTATATTACATGAAAATTTAATGTATAATGTGTATTATATGAAAGTTTTATTAAGTTAGCTCACAACAAAGAATTATTGAGGACTCACTGTGTGACTTATATGAAGTCCCCATGGTAGTAGAAGCTGACCAGGATATTGTCATCCCTGCCCTCAAGAAACTCCCAATTGAGCAATACTGTACATACACAACAATTACAACGTGGCATACCATGATCATAAACGAAACACTGAAAGCATAGAGGTTGTGTAGGTGATAAAGGAGGTTGTGGAGGGTTTCAAAGAGGAGCTAATGTTGATCTGGATATTAAAGAATAAGCTATATTTTTACTCAGGAAGGAGAAGAAGCCAATTTCAAGCAGAGGAAAGAGAGAAAATAAAAACAACTAGCATGACAACATTCCTAGGTCTTGGAAGTACTGTAGCTCAAGTCCAGGGTGTTCGGTGGGAATGAATGGATTTAATGCCAATGAGGTGAGTTGGGGCCAGATTGTAAGAAAATCTTCAAACCATGGTAAGGATGTCAGAGTCTAACCAATAAACAGGTGGAAGCCATGGGAATCTTTGAGCAAAGGATTGACTAATTCTTTGCCCAGAATGGAGAGAGAGAAGTTAAGAGGCTAAAAGGTCACTAAGGAGAGGGACTAAGAGGCAAAGGGGATCAAAACTGAGACTATAGAAGTTATAGTGAAGAGTGGGTAGAGGACTAGGGGTCACATTGTAGAAGTTTTAGCTGAAGTGTAGAGTACAGAGGTCACAGTGTCTGCCAAGGAGATCTCCATCCTGTCTGCACCCAGTTACTTGAGACAGAGGATGTGAAAGAAGGAAGAACAGCTTTCTTGGGGTTGGGGAAAAGGAATATCAATTTAATCCAGTTATACTGAACTTGAGGTAGCAATAATCTATTCAGATGACTAGAACTAATGGGAAATTTAATGAATGGATGGGTAGTTTGGGAGAAAGAGTAGGGCTGATGGTATAGGCTTGTAACTCTATAAATATATGACATTTTAAGGTGTGGTAGTAGTTGGGGTTATTAAAAGAAGAAAATAATACTGAAAAGGATATTTCACAGAGAATATTGAGATGTAAAGGGCTACTATGGGGGAGAAACTGGTAAAAGAGCCCAAGAACCTGTGGTCAAAATGGGTCCAAAGAAAATGGCTATAGATACTAAGTGGAAGAAGACATTTCTGGAGGGGATGGTGGCAAAAGGTGTAAAAAAATTCCTAAAGGCTGGAAAGGGATTATGAAATATTTCAGAAAAGATGAAGGGAAAGGCGGAATTGGTAAGATAATTAACAGTGTTTTGAGAAAGGATATTTTAATGAGAGTGGTAGATATATAAACTTGATTGAATAAAGATAGTGGAAAGGTATATTATCAATAAAGCAGAATAATGAAGTGGTATTTAAGTCTCTCCAATACACTGTTTTGTTTTGTTTTTATCCTCACCCGAGGACAATTTTCGATATTTTGTTCAGATAGGGTCGGAGGGAAAGAGAGAGAGAGAAACATCGATGTGGAAGGGACACATTGAGTGGTTGCCACCCACACGACCCAACCAGGGCCGGGGATAAACCGCAGCCGACGAGGCACGTGCCCTTAGCGGGAACCGAACCCAGGTCTCTCCGGACCACAGGCCGACACTCTAACTGCTGAGCCAAACCGGCCAGGGCACTGTTTTTGTTTTTAACAAAAAAAACCCAAGGATATAAGATTTTGAAATATTGATTAAAATATAAAAGGTAAATGTTTCAACAATTTTGTCACAGTCATTTGAAAGATAACTTTCAAATTGCCTTTAAGAGAATAATTCGAAACTATATTTCATATACACAGAGGTAAAGCACTTATATTACGGGAAGATGAATAATTAGTGTTACTGACAAGGTACTTTTTCTCTTCTTAATTTTCTAGAATACGGAATTGTTTCAATAATAATTATGGCTAATTCTATTCACCTGGCAATTCCAAGTTGACAGTGAATGGAACAAAATGTGACTGACTTAACATGTCAGACAGAAAATAGTGAATAGACTCAACTTCTATCAGTTTTTGTCATAGAGAGATATTTCCAAAAAGGACATAATGAAATAATTGAATTAATGTTTATAATAATGAAATTACATTGAAATTCAATAAATAGGTACATGGTAGTCATTGTTCAGAACTCAGGTGATGAGAATATTGAAAGGTGTGAGTGTCTCTCAAGGAAATGATTTCTTACATTAAATGCTTCTTAAGTAGGTTCCTGTAATATAAGATAATACTATTAATGACAATCATTGTCTTGTACCTAATTGATTGTGCATAAAATAACCTCCTGCTTCATTCAATATTAAGTAAGTGTTTTCCTTTTTCTTTTCTTTCATGGAGTTGTACTAATATAAAATATTCTGCAATGTATATGGAAAAATATCAGTCTTTATCTTACTGTTCATTAAATAACGAAGGAAAGAGAGATGTCATTCCAGGTCCTAGTAAC